AACTTCAAGAAATTCCGTTTTTCTGCAAGGATTGTGTGGTATTTGATTGACCGTGACAGGAATCATTTAGAGAGTTTTCTTCACAACTCCAACAGTAGATTTGTGCAACATGCATGCTATCAACTTCGTGAGTATGTTCAGGCGCGTGTTGCAGTTTCTGATCCCTTGTATGAGATGATCAAGAAGGAAGAGTTTGAACGCCAATACAATTCCAAGTTTTTTGGAGGCGATTTCTTGCTCTCGTGTTGTAGTTGAGCCTGTAAGTTCAGGGACGTATGAGCCATCATCGAAGCTGAACTTAAAGGTACTACAAGACATCCTGAAGGGTATCTTCAAGATCCAGAAGGATGAGGAGCTTGCCAAGGAACGTGATGAAGAAGAAGAACAGGCAGCTCAAAACATCTCATACCTGTTGGCAGATGATATGGAGCTTGATTTTGATGATGATGATGTTCCAGTATGGCGCTCCATTGTCGACAAGTATAGAGGAGGTGATCAGGTGCTACAGGGAGAAGCTGTGAAGATTACTCACCTGTTCAGGGATCAAAAGGACAATGAGAAGGCGACAGAAGCTTTCAGTTCAGAGAGGACAGATTTTTATGAGACCTCAGGACCTCTTCCAAGAACCGAGGGAGAAAATCTTGTAGAGGACTTGCTCACCAAGGATGTTGCAGAACAAGCCTTTGAAGCAGGTGAAGAAGTTCCTCCTTATACAAGAGTCTCCACTATCACTGGTGAAGTCTATACTGGAAGTAGAACACTTCTAGAAGATGAGAATATGGAAGAGGAAGTTCCTGAAGAAGATCCTGCAGTTGAACCTGGAAAGGAAGAAGAAATATTTGATGAAGATGCAGGTGTTTTTCCTTCAGAGGAACCAAAGATGGAAGTTGACCAGGAGGAAGCCAAGGAAGAGTCAACACCACACTTTCTGTCAAGAGAGATAGGTGAGGACTCGACTGCATCGCACTTACCATCAGGTGAGATGGATGCTAACCTTGATGATACTTCAGGTCAGCGGAAATCTAAGAAAAGCCGCCTGAATAAGATTCCTGATCCTCATTTTCATGAAGAAGTTCAGGATGATGCAACCATGGAAGAGAAGAAAGAGGCGGTGGAGAAGATAAAGGAGGTCAGAGAGGATGATGGAGAGAAGAAATTGGAGGCTGAAATCCAAGAATCTTTTCCATCTGAAGTAGTTGTTGAAAAGGATACAACAAAAGTTGACAATACCTATGAGTTGCACACTTCACCTTTAAAGTTGCTTGGAGAGCTTACAGGAGATCCAGGTATTGGCTTTTATCAACTATGCTTCAGGGAAACTCATGCAAGATTGCTGAATCATGTTTGTTTCAGAAAAGGTGAGATTTCCCATCCTCATTATCAGTCAAGGATCAACGAGAATGATTTTGTTCGATCCATTCGCAATATCTGTCCAGTACCTCCACCTGATTGTTATGAACATGAACCAGAGCATGATTTGAAGAGATTCTTCATCAATGATGACCGCATCATTTATTTGGATGGCAGGTATCAGGTCGATCCAAAGGCCCTTGAAAGGGCAGGACATGCTCGAGAAGAATTGGAGGATACGAAGAAGGAACTTAAGAAAGAACTGGAATCATATGGTCCCAAGGGACCCAGTTGGGACTTTGTCACCTTCTATGAAGAGCTGTGCAGAAGGTTCCTCAAGGGAAGAATAGAAGAACCATATGGAACTAATTTATTGGCCAGCTCAGAGTCCTTGACATTTTTATCCTGGAACTATGGCAACATGGTTCGTGGTCAGAAGTACACCACACCAAGGTTTCTCCAAGGACTTGATAGTGCAATGAGGCCACGCAAACAGAGCGCCATGTCACTTCAGAATGAGCAATTTGAGAACAACCTTTTCTTCAACATGCTCTTCTTTTTACGTGCACATGTCGTGATTCTCCAGGAAGCTCATCTTCTTGTTCCTGCCAAGGAATTTATTGAGCAAAAGAATTGGACAGTTTGTTTCAATGATTGGGAGAATCTTGCAGTGATGGCCAGATTGGCACCAGGTGGATATGTCAAGATCATTGCTGGACATGATCAAGAACTTGGTCACTGTGAACAGCGTGATGTAACTTGGGCTATCTACGAGATTTGTTTTGGAGAAACAAGGCCTCGTCAAGATTTCAGGGATGCAGACTTTGAATTTGATGACTATGGTCCTGAGGACAAGCGTGTTCCACTTACTCGAGCGAACATGCATACCATCAGAGTCTGTAATTATCATGTTGATACACACCGTGCTGTGGATGCCCACCTACTGACAGGAGAACAGACAGCATTGATGCTTTACGAGTGTTTTGTCTATGAGGTGGACATCATTTCTGGTGATGCAAATAGTTTGGCCTACAGAATGTCTGGGTACAAAAGGCAGCCAATGGCTAACTACTATTACAGCACCATGCAGCATTGGATCCGCAGGTTTTCAGAAGCTCGTGTCAAAGCAGATCCGGGTATCAAAGCACCTATTCCCAGAACATTTTACAGTTCAACTTCACAGGTCCTCAAGAATTGTGAAGATTACTTTGACAAACTCTGGGAAGAATATTCTACTGTTGAAAAAGAAGAATACCAAGGATCAAAGCTTGGCGATACATGTTTGTCTACCATTGTTGAATGGGGTCATTCAATGAGTGAAGAGGAATATGAAAATTCCACAGTGAGTACGAAGGAGTTCATCTGTAATTTTTCAGAGAACTTTGCTATGATTGACACGGAGGTTATGTGCTCAAGGCCCACTGACGAGGACAGTCATGGTCCAATGTTTATTTCACTCAGACCAGCTTCCTTTTCATCTGGAGACAGAAAACAGTATCGCATGGGACCAACTCTTCATGAGGCGAACTTGCGGAGGAAGGAGAGACAAAAGCAGAATAAAAGGAAAGGAAGGCCGCCAACTTCTGATCAAGCAACTTCATCGTTTGCAGCGGCATAATTCCTGAGCGAAGGCTGAAATTTAAATGATGGCTAGGAAGTGAAGATACTTCTGGTTACAGTTGATACTTTGCTTCCAGGCTTGACTTTAAGTTGCCAGGCTGAAGTTTTAATAAATTCTGGTTTGCAATGAGGAGAAACTTTTTATCAAAGAAGATACTCCTGCATTCCAGGTTTATACGCTTTAGCATGTAGATAGGTATGGACAGTTTTGCATAACTGATGATATCTATCACAGTCGCTTTTCTGAGATGACCTCTAATGGACAACCATTCATGGTTGATGATTAAGTCATTTCATAAGTCTGCATTTGTAGTGCAAGTTTTGTACATACATTTGCCGGTATCTCCTTCTTGTGTTTTTGATGTGAATGTGAAAGAGAGTCCTTTTGATGCAGTTTATTTTGTCTGTGAATGAAAGCGGTCGAGACCACGTCACGAGAAGATTATTCCTCGGACCGTACGCTCCTTGCATTTTGCAAGGCATCTTAATTCATTGCATTGCGCGGTCTTGAATTTTTAGTTCTTTGTTACGCGAGTGTCGTTTGATTCTTTTATAGGTCTCTGTAGAGAAAAAGCCGCTTTCCCTTTTAGTTTGATTTAGCTCAGGCCATAAAGAGCTAGTGAGCGCCGGTACATGGTATCTCCGCCTGCGAAAAGTACAGTCTCCAGCCGAGGTACATTATCGATTTGATTTTGTACTTGAGGTGAGTCAGCTATTGCTCCCTCACTGTATTTAGTAGCTATGAGATTACCTTCTCTATAGTGTGAAACACACTGGATTAGGTAAGTACATGGCACCGTAGTTTTCTTTTAAGTTGTCAGAGCTAGCTGGACTGATTTAGCCTTGCAGTAGAAAAAGAGTGTGCGACATACGCAATCAGCTAGGAGTGGACATGAATCTTGTGCCTGCTGAAAAGTAGAGCCTACCTGTACAGGGTTCCACTCCAACAGCCGATATAGTGTGTCCATACTTGACTGCTTCAAGGCTCAAAGAGCAAGAGGATAAGACTCTGCACATAAAAGACACTAGCGGTCTGCACCTCTACCGTGTACGCCCTAGTCACTCTTTCACCCTCCCCCCCCTTTCAACTCCACCCTGGCGCGGGTCTTTGTCAACAGCCACAAAACACTGTAAATAGCAGTGTTTTCAGCTCCTCCAGTCTGCAAGAGTGGCCTCAAACCAGGCAATTTACAGGGTTTTCTGTGGCTGTCCGGCCAAAAACCTCGTAAAAGCCGATGGTTTTTGAAGTGTCTAGGCTTCAAATGGTCTAAAAAATGTCAAAAACCAGGAATATGTTTTATCGGAAAGGGCTTTTTCGGCGTTTGGAGGCTTCTAAATGGCACAAAACGACGGTATTTACGCGGGTTTGTGCGCCTTCCTGGCACAAAACCCCGTAAATTGCGATGGTTTTGGGCTGTGTACGCATCAAAGTGGCCACAACACACCATAAATACCATGTGTTTTCAGCTCCTCCTATCTTCAAGAGTGGCCTCAAACCGGAAAGGGCTTTTGCGGTGCTTAGAGGCATCAAAGTGGCACAAAGCGACGATACTTACACGGGCTTCTGCACCTTCCTGCAACAAAACCCTGTATATTGGGATGGCTTCAAGCTATGTACGCTTCAAAGTGGCCACAAAAACACCGTGAATACCATTAATACCAGTGTTTCCAGGCTTACGCCAGATTCCCTGCTACCTTTCGTTCACCCCCTCCTCTCTCAAGTTCCCTTCTTGCAGGGGGTCTTCGGGAGGTCTCCCTAATGCACACCCTATCACACCTATAGAATCGAAGCTGCTGGCAAGTCTAGTTTCGAAATGTCGGTCAGACTGTGATTTTTAAGACGGAAATCTTTAGTTGTCGTTTGTAAAATGATGCAGGCTATTGAATGCAATCTTCTCTTTTTGCATGCCAGCAAGGAGATGTGATGAGATGGAGCGCGTTTATGCCTCTTTTGTTTTCGTATGGTGTGTAGGTGTAACTGGAGTCTGCATACAACTTGAACGGCATTCGGCCCAAAGTGGGGAGCTAAGGAAGCAGCCAGAAGTGTGTGAGGTGCGCTTCTGACGCCCCTGCTGCTCGAATGAATTGATCCAAAGGCTGCGGCAGACTCCCAGTCGGTTCAGCTTGGACCTTTCAGCGAAGTGGTAACACTTAAAACTTATACATATTGTATCTTATTCCCCACATCTTAGTGTGGGGTTCTCTTTTCTATGTCTCATCCTGCTTCCCGCCCGCTTCCCGCCTCCCGCCTCCGCCACACACACCGAGACACAGACAGAGATCACACACACAGAGACACACACACACACACAGAGATCACACACACAGAGACACACACACACAGAGCCCACACACACAGAGACAACACACACAGACACAACACACACAGAGACAACACAGACAGAGATCACACACA